CCCCTCCGGGCGTCCTCCTATCCGCCACCTGGAGACGCGCCCGATAGGTAGCCCAACCCACGGGATTTACAGTAATATCCAACACGATTTTTCCACTTGATTTAGACTTTGGGGCCATCGACCAAACTGTAGCATTGAAGCTTCCATTGCTGTTCTGAGTGAAGCCACCTATGCATCGATTTAAAAGGTCGTCACTATTTAACTCCTCGTAGATCGGCTTCAGGGCGTTTAAAACTTCTTCCGAAAGAGCTGCCTTATGAGAAAAATGATCTAATGTGTTAGTGGCTTTTGCTTTTTGCCACGAACACCAGGAATTTTCGCCGGCTGGGCACTTGTCGTGTTGAGGTTTTTCGTTTGTCGATATTTTATGAAATAACGTCGCCCAAATTTCATTTTTCATTTTCTCGATCGACTCATGATTTCTGCGAATAGCCAAGCCATAGTATATTGCAAGTTCATCGATTAGTTTGTTGGTTAATTTTCCTTTTCCGCCGAGACCAGGTACTTTCTTTTTTAAATTTCTCAACCGAGTGCCCATCCTTTTTTGCACGTGGTCGATGCACTCTTTCTTCTGTACTATCAAATTGTCATATGGCTCAGATTTTAATAGACCAGAAAAAGTTTTAGAATCGCCGTCTCCAATGTAACTGCCGTATTTTACGTCATATAAACTTTCAGAGCAACGAAACATTTCAATTACTGCGTCTACTTCCATTTTACCAGCGGAGCCTGTGTGGTTTGCTTGACAATTATTTTTATAATTTTCGAGCCACTCAGAATACTCTGCAGTATCACATCTTTTTGCCCAAGATTCACAAGCCTTGCAGTAACTAGATTTTGTAATTATATCAATAACTTTTCCAGTACTCCATCCGATTAAAGACACCAAACCGAACAACGAAGAAAATCCTCGTTTTCTCCAAGATCCATTTCCTGATACTACCAAACCATTGAAGTTTTTTCTAGCACTTTCTTCTTTTTCTACGTTCATTGCCTTCTCCATGCTTATCTTACAAACACTTTGTGTTGCTTCAAAAACAATTTTGATGATTTTATCATAATAAGACTGAAATATTGGCCGAGGAAGCTCCATAAAAGCACAGAATTTAATTATTCCATTTAAGCCTATTCCAAGCAGTCGCATAGCTACGATTATTCTTCTGTTGATTTCGTAGGCTCTATTATTTATAAGAGGGCAATTAGGAATTTCAGCGTTTTGACACTTTTCACAAGAAACAACTATTTTGAAACCAAGTCCGCGTTTACTACTTTCGGTAAATTTGATATCTGAGTCACATACTTTGCACTTCACTAGTAAAGAAATTGCATTAAAAACTGTCACAAAATTGATAAAACGATATCCGACAGAAGCATCAACTTCAACATCTTGAGCATCGTCACATAGTTTCAACTTCTTGGCAGACGTGCCGACGGGAGGGCTCCGATTGCACACATCTCATATTACACACATGTACCGCTGATTGGCCAATTTAAAAATAAAATAATCTCATTGGCAAAACAGTGAAAAATTACTAGGCACCAGTTGATATGAGTGGTGTGTACAATCAGAACTGTAGGCAAACGGGATCCTCCCCGTGCCGACACTCTCGACGGGATCGTACGTCTCCGCTTCATACCGGTTTGCAGATTGCTTTCTTGATATAGACGGCTTTTTTAACGAACTTTGTCCGCCTCTTTTACTTTTATGTTCACGATTCATTGACTTGCTATCCATTTTTGTCACAAATTTCAGTAATTCTTATACAAAGTTTACGATAAACCACACGAAGAAAAAGTATGCGCTCGGCGTTCTTCTAACGGTCATACTGATTTTACGCAGCTGTGTGGTTGAGTTTACGCCATCTGTGAGATATTATTTGAACCTTCTAAACTACCAAAAACTCTGACAATACGTGTTATTCAATGGTAAAGCAGTTACAACGGATTAGACTCCAAAACCCGAACGCGTAGAAAGCGTCCGAAATGGCCTCTGACGCGCCGAAGGCCTCAGCAAATTGCCATAAACGACCGGTACGAGAATTATTATGGCCATGAGACATTTTTTTTTTATTCTAGAGGGTTTAAGGAAGGTTTTAAGCTAATAAAAAAGAAACCGATTTTTTTTAAGTCGCAAGATGGTGTTACCCCTTAGCCGGTTGCGCCTCTCTGATAAATCTAGGACTCTAGGTGACACGAACAGATTTAGGACAAGTTAGGACAAGCGTCCTCCAGAAAAAAAACGTCGCTCTGCCTCATGGACCAAGATTAATCGTTAAATTGAGCGCCACTCTCGTTAAAGTTGACTACAGAACATAGGTTAAGATATTTGTAAAGCCTTGTGTCCACGATGCTAGAAATCGATCCGAGATCTCGGACAGAGAAAAAATTAACAAATCACATTTGAACAATTTCATCACATGACTATTGCGATTGGTCAATTCTTTCTTCATCCGAGGTCTCGGACCGATTTCTAGTATCGTGGACACAAGGCTTAAGAACCATGAAATACTTCTCTCAACACTACATATTCTCAATCATTACGCATGCGTGCGTAAAGGCCATGGCACATAAAAAAAACTGAAGGCGTAACCCCGGATCTACAATAGCTGTATTAAGCCTTAAGCCGTAAGAAATTGACCAACTGCAGTCGAATGCGAGAAGAATAAGCGACTGTGATTCGCCCATTTCTTATGGCTTAAGGCTTAAAACTCTATTGTAGATCCGGGGTAAGACTTAAGCAGTAAGCGAATCGACCAATCACAATAGAGACCGTAAGACCATACGTAAGCAATAGCGAATCCAACATGTTGGTTTCGTTAAGCGGGGAGCACAGACTCTTGCATAACGCATAACACATGAGGCATAAGAAATTGAACCAACCAGAGTTCTCTATTACATGGAAGGGAAAGAAACGGAGAACTTCGATTGGTACATATTCTTATGCATTAAGGCCCGTCTACAATACACGGAATAAGAAGTAAGAGTAAGAAATAGACCAATCACAGTCGATTATTCTTCTCACATTCTACTGTGATTGGTCAATTTCTTACTCTTACTTCTTACTCCGTGTATTGTAGACGGGCCTTTATGCGTTATGTAAGAGTCTGTGCTCCCCGCTTTACTGCTTAAAGCCGGAAGCACATAGAAAAAAATAAGTCCGTAAGACGTAATCAGTAAGGAAATCGTAACATTGGATTCGCTACTGGCCTTACGGTCTCTACTGTGATTGGTCACTTACTGCTTGCGTGTTACGGCCTTACGTTCTTGTATGGGTAGGAGCACAAGGATTGCCGTAACGCTTTACGGCAGTCTTAAGCGGGGAGCACAGACTCTTGCATAACGCATAACACGTAATGCATAAGAATATGTACCAATCGAAGTTCTCCGTTTCTTTCCCTTCCATGTAATAGAGAACTCTGGTTGGTTCAATTTCTTATGCCTCATGTGTTATGCGTTATGCAAGAGTCTGTGCTCCCCGCTTTAAGTTGTAGACGTAAGTAACGCAACCCTATGTGTCATGGCCTTAAAGCCCATGACACATACAAGAACGTAAGGCCGTAACACGCAAGCAGTAAGTGACCAATCACAGTAGAGACCGTAAGGCCAGTAGCAAATCCAATGTTACGATTTCCTTACTGATTACGTCTTACGGACTTACGTTTTTCTATGTGCTCCCGGCTTAAGTCTTACGTCTTAATTTTTTTTATGTGCCATGGCCTTAACATGTCTCAACCGCACCACCTTCTGAGGTGAAGCAAATAGAGCATGCTCTAACGCGCCTCGAACATCTAATCGTCATATTGGTTCCGGTGACGCCAACGTATTGGAGCACGTTGGAATAAAAAGGAGCATATTGGAGCGTGTGACGCGAACAAACCTATTGTTTGAAGATACAGAATCGACCCCCGAGTGCCGAAAATTAATACCGAACGATACAGAGCTGTCATAGTGTCATTTAAGATTATGGTAAATGTTAAGAAGATCCCGGTCGCCTCAAATTTTGATAAAAATGCGCTCAATCCATGTGTTGTCGCGTAAAAATAAAGACTTAAGTGAACCACTGCTGTGACAGTGTCACGTCCCGCGACAAATACCGTTACAAAATTTTTTTTATTATATATAAAACTGTAACACCATAAACACTACGCGACCATTTAACCTTTACTTAAGTGCGTATCGTGCGTATTTAAACCCATCTTTTTCTTGGCGCGTACTTGAACTCATTAGCATATGCTCACGCATAGCCGCATCTTCAAGCTGCAACCTCATTGGCCATTACGCTTACAAACCTGACCAATCTTCGCAACTCCTCTAGACCTAACGGAATGTGAACATTTTCACCAATCACAACTCAGTATTTCTCTTACTATCGCGACCACCTAAAAGAATATCAACCAATCAAGATCCTAGAAATCAATCCTCCATTTCGTGACCATCTTTTAACTCCCTATTTAACAGACTTTCCTTACGAACAGTTTATAAACCACCTTTTGCATATCTTAAGCCTAACCCACATGTCTTAATACTCGCATCCGAAATCTTTAGTCCCTCAACGACTCATGTTGCATCCCCGTAAGATAGCATTTTTATGAAACCTTAATCAAACTCTATCAAATTCACAAACAGAATAAAATATTTAACTTAGATTCTTATTCTCATTCTTACTCAACCATAATCCTACCGCTTTCAACCCCGCGACGAATTCAATACGATAATTACATAAACCCTAAGACATCGCTATGAAATATTATAATATTCTTTTATTCCTTTAAAATTCTGAACCTAAAATAAATCGAAATACCATCACTACAATGTAATATCGATCCACCGTGATACGCTATAATATTGTAAGCAACGAGAAAGATATTTATTCGACAATTAGACGTGCTACTCTTTATCAATCATTATGTACAACGGATCAGGCAGCAGCCACTCAAATGTAAAGCACCTCTAATTCCTGTAAAACACTACATTATTAACCTCAATGACGATAATTATATTCTTTTCAATTTTCATATAAATATCTTTCTCATATGAAGCGACGATAGTAGAATAAATTAGCTACATACGAAACCATGATTCACCACAGCTGATCTAGAAAATCACGCCACACTAATTATAAATAGAAATGACCTACTGTATCAGCTTGCGAACATTACCAAATAAGGAGCGAAGCTTGTGCTTCCCCCACTATTCGACCGATCATCCAATTTTAACATTGCCATATAAGGTCATGAAGACGATCCCTCCAAGACAATAACGCTTATGAGTCACTTATCATTGTTCGTAACAATATAAAAGCAGCCATCCTCACCGCAAAAACGTCTTTTTTCCATACGAAGTTCAGAGAGAGATTCTTGGGTGATCAGCTTTCTAGTTTAACTCTTAGTCTTCGCGTCAGTCAATTGAAGCTTTCGGTTTGTCACATCCACAGTGTATTACTTTACAATAAAGAAGTTATATTATCGAATCTCAAGTTATTACAATAATTCAACGACTGTTCTATCGAAGATCCCCTTCCTTATCGAGTAAAGTATCGACCAACTGAGATTTCCACCAGCAGACATTGACAATCTACCCTAAGGCTACGGATTTTGGGATTTTAACTCCCTTAACCTCACGGCAACGTCCCACGAAAAAATAGTTGAATTCTGGATCGCCTTACCAACGATAACTGAATCAACTTTTAGAGTTCTCCGGGTCAAACCGAGAATTCCTAAAATTCGCTTAGCGTTACATACGACGTGACAACAGATTTCCTAACTTGAATAGTTGTTGACTTTAACGATTAATATCCTTGATTTACAAGACAGAGCAACGCTTTTTTTCTTGTCAAATCTTTATTTTACGCGAAAACGTATCGATTGAGTGTAATTTTATCAAAATTTGAGGTGGCCGGGGTCTTCTTAACATACCTTTTGCAGCATTTTGAATAAAATCTTTTATCACAAGATTGGAAGTAGTGAGGGCTAAACTTGAGATTTACTAAAATAAAAAATGGAT